CTGCCCCGGGGGTTTCCTTTTGGCAAACAAAGATGACGACTGAGAGGTATCCTGACGAGCTGATTGCGGGGGACGATACAGAAGATGAGAGCCAGTCAGAGGTTGGGAGTGTAAGCAATCGCGCGTCCACGCCGCCAACGTACATTACATGTACGGAGAAAAGATTGGCATCGCTGAATATCGCAAACAGATTGCCTCGTCCAGCACAAGTCTGCGCGAATCCGTCCTCGACTACCGCCTCGAGAACGGTAGGACATATCACCGTTACAAAGACGGCAGTGAGTTTTTTCTTTTGCTTGTTGTATTTACCTTTGATGAAACCCACCCCGCTTGGCATCGAGACACGGTCTGACAATGACACAGAATACACGAAACCCAACGATGAGCGGGAAATGGACAGACTTGGTAACTTCCTTTCTGATGCTGTTGTTCTTGACAGCTAGTTCCTCGGCTAACGACGGGAAATTCCAGAGCTGGAAAATGAGTTATGGCTGATTTCTCTCGACTTCGCTTCCGGCGTCGCCCCGCCTGCCCAGAAGGACTCAAAGTTCGTGTGTTCTCGTGCCCTGGACGTCGGTACCGGTACCGGCAGCTGGGCCATCGACTTTGCAGATGATCATCCGGAGTCAGAGGTAAGGAGAAAAGATCAAGAGTTGCACTTCGACGAATCTGCAAGAAAAGGCGACTGAATTGTGACCATCTGACGCTCTTGCTTCCAAGGTTATCGGATTCGACCTCTCACCGCCCCTGACTGATTAGTACGTTTAATATTTTCTCTATTCGTAGGCTCATTCTTTTTGTTTCAAGCCCAAAATGTGACATTTAAGCTCTTTGAGAGCAGAAAGACACTCGCATTCATCGGTTTACTGATTGTTTTCAGCGTGCCCCCAAACCTCAAATTCGAGATTGATGACCTCGAGGAAGACTGGACATGGTCCCGCCCTTTCAGCTACATCCACAGCAGAGTCATGACTGGCGCCGTCAACGACTGGGACGTATATCTCCGCAAGATTTACAAGTGAGTTGAGAAAAGCTGCTCATAGCAACCGAGGAAATCTAAATCATGCCAACAAAAAGTCGCAGCTAACACTCGTGAAAAAAAAGGAACCTCGAGCCAGGTGGCTGGGTCGAGCTGCAGGAGCTCGACATCTTCGTCACCTCGGACGACGGCACCCTCACGGAGAAGCACGCGCTCTCGCAATGGAGCAAGCTCCTCCACGGCGCCTCGGAGAAGCTCGGCCGCCCCTACATTGACCCCAAGTCCCTGGACCTCAAGGCCGCCGGCTTCGTCGACGTGTCCATCACCACCTTCAAGTGGCCCCTCAATGAGTGGCCCAAGGACCCCAAGTACAAGCAGCTCGGTCGGATCCAGCTCGAGAACGGCACGACTGGGATGGAGGCTTTCACGATGGCGGCTTTTACGCGCGCGTACGAGTGGTCGCCCGAGGAGGTCAACGTCTTCCTCGTCGATGTCCGGAATGATCTTAGGAATAAGGCTATCCATGCTTATATGCCAGCGTATGTCTTTATCACTCCTCTGTCAATGCACTGATATCCTAATACGTTATACAGGTACTGCATCATTGGTCGGAAACCGGAGAAGGGTGAGCTTGAGGTGAAGAAGGAGGAGAATCCTGCCTGAGATCCGTTGAAGGGGATTTGACCACTCGAGGTGTCCAATTTCTTCATCATATTCGCAATACAGCACGACAGTCAAAGGCAAAATCCTGTTGATGGTATTAGTGGACTGGCAATGAACAGCGAGGAAATCACGTCGGACCACTTTGCATGATTTTATAGCACATTCACAAAGACCTGGGGAGGCATCTTAGCAGCATGAGCATCATTCTTTCCTTCTTTAACGGCGCAGACTCATCTGCCTGTCAAATCACATAGCTACAGCTGAAGAAGAGACGCCCGTGACCATTGCAATATGTATAGTTGTTACGTGAGTTCGCCAAACATCCGCTCGGTTGAGGTCCACCTCTCTCATACTGTACCGCCATCACCGTCCAGTCTGTTTTATTGCACAAAGCTACGAAGCTATATACTCCGGAATTACGTGTCTCGTTCTCTTTGGTATTAACGTATTCCGGAGGATCGTCGATCCACGGTACCTTTACTCCAATGGCTTCCTTCCAACAATAGAATACCTATGAACAACGTTAGCAAACTCTCACTCAGAACCCCTATCCAAGAGCAGACAACAATAACCAAACGCTCCTCCGAGGAATGCACTCACACAAGCCCGTAGGCATGAATACTCTCATCCCTCATCTCGTTCCTGACACCAACCAAAAACGCATCGACGTCCTCCTTGGACCACCCAAACGCCCTCGTGAACGGCGCCATCGCAAACCCCTGGAGCCCAGCCACGATATTCTCCCCGCTCCACACTCCAAGCTCCTTCAACTTCCTCCCCTCCTCCGTGTCCGCGGCAGGCCATCCGTTGGTCGGCCACTTGAACACGCGGACCTCGACGTCCGCGAACCCAACCTCCGGATCACGCATCAGGTCGGCGAGCTTGGGGATCTCCTGGTAAGGACGGCCCAGCATCACCGAGGCGTCGTGTAGAAGCGCGCAGTACCGCGCCAGAGCCGAGGTCGTGGGATCGAGGGTGCCGTCGTCGCATGAGGGGCCTACGTCGACTTCTTGGAGTTCTAGGTAGCCTCCCGGTGTGAGGTTGCTGTTGCGAGAGTGTGAGAAGATCTGAACTTGCAGTCTAGAGTCTGTGTGTTTTACACAGCCCAGGAGGAGGGTTAGGGGCAGGACTCAACTCGTAACAATTCTTCAGGTACTCCTTCCAGTCTGCTATGCTAGAAGTCATGAGGCGGCTGTGTATGTAGTCAAACGGTTCGTCAAACACCCACTCCTCCTCAATATCGTCAACTTCAAAGTCAACGTTTGGCGGCAGGCTAGAAGGGGAAACGTGTCAGTAAGGCCCTATGCCGAGATGAACAATGGGGTTAGTTCCCAACTCACAAAGTAGGTTGATTAGGCGAAAGATCGATCCCAAGGACCTTTTCATTTCCCAACCTTTCATCAGCAAACGACTCCTCTGAACTGTCTGAAAAGGGTGTCAAACACCAGGAAAAACTTACTTCGGCTTCGGGATGCTCATCGCCAAAGTCAATAGCCCATATCCCCGTCCCCGTTCCAACGTCGAGGACCCTGCCAAGGACTTCGGCCCCCTTCTGGCACGGCGGCGCGAGACCGAGCCTGTTATCAAACGTGAGGAGGAAGACGTTATGTTGGAGGTCTGGCGATTCAGCTTCCCGTCAGTACCTGGATACATGGAGACAACCGTAGGGTTGCCGCTTCGAACCTAAGAGGAAACTGCCGAGCAGAAGTGCTGTGCCTGTGTCTTGCAGCAGCAGCGGCAATAGCAGCACCAACCAAATGTCGACGGGAGAAGGGAACAACAAGACTCACCTAACCTCTCCTGCTCAGCCTGGTCGTTTGGAAGGGTATATTCTGCAGAAAAGGCCGGTCAGAAACAACACCAACGCCATCCATAACCCGAGCCGGACCACTGCGGTCTCCCACTTACTGCCGTCCTTGTACCGATGATACGTCCTCCCGTTCTCCATACGATACTCCAGTATGGATTCACTCAGACTCAGCCCAGATGAAGACAAGCCCTTCAGCAGAGGAAAGCAATGACACGGTCAGTTGAGTATTTCTTAAAGAAAGATACAGAAGAGACAATGAAGTCAAGAGGCAGGGGTAGACGGGGGGCGATAAGGCTGAAGGGAGTGAGGTTCTCAACAGACGAAAGGCAGAAGACTCACAGGGACGTCCTCAGAATGCCCATGTTCGCAAGAGGCGTGACCACATCCCTCTTCCTCGTCCTGACCATCGCCGTCGTCATCGTGAGAATGCTGCTGCTGCTGCTGCCGCCCCCTCGAAGGCTGACCAAAATCACGGTCCGGATCAATCCCATAATCTGCCATGTATTTCGCTTTCAAGCTCAGAAACAGTTGATCATGCTTGGCCTGATCGATCTCTCCTACACCACGCTCTGAAGAGTGTGACATCTGCAGGGGGTTAAAGGAAAAGGCTGGCAGAGCAGAACTTTAGAAGCAGCGTCGGCAGCCTCGAGTTGTCGTCGTCGTTATTATTCTCAAAATAGTAAGGGACCGAAAACACTTTCGATCAAAGTACAGAACAGCGCCCAGACTCAATACACCAAAGAAGAAAAAAGAGCGAAAGGAATCGTGTCACGAATTCCAACCAACTCCTCTCTCTCTCTTTCTCTCTCCCCCCATACCCGCATCCTTCAAAAGCCCGTCTGGCCCCCCAAAAATGGCCAACCGAACCGAACCCCTCCTCGTCCCAGGGCCCAGGCATCTTACCCCCCCAGGCAAACACACCAGGGCAAACATTTACGAGCACACCGAACTAGGCAGGGGGGGACAAGTTGGAGTTGGAGTTGGAGCAAGAAGGAACCAACAGCATATGCACGTCTGCAAATTGCAGCTTTCGAATTGGGAATGTGAAGCGGCGTTTTCTGCAGAGGGCCCGCTAATCTTTTTCCACTCTGGCCGCGCTACGGAATGACACGACCGGGGAGGTAGACGAGCCGAGGGGGTTGTATGCAGGCCGGGCCGGCCCCCGGGTTAGTGGGCGAAGGAAAGTCAACTCTCTAAGCACTGGGTTGGTGGACAAGCGCTTGAGCGCAGAATAAGCGCTTCAATGACTATTTAAACCGAGCTTGCTTCATCGATGGAATGGTTGGATCATGGTCGCCTACCGGACTCATGAGTACTGGTAGCTGTCGTTGACGAAGCGTACACATAGATTGAGGCAAGCAGGCGGATCTAGGCAATCCACCTCACTTCCATGACCATTACATAGCACTTCATCAATCTTTGTATCGGGAAGTTTTTGGTATTCATCCACCATGCCATCAGCGAAAAGCCCGATTGAAAGGCTTCCAGCCAGGCACAACTACCTCAAGCCAGCTGGATCAGTGCTATTCACCTAACACCCAACTTCGTCCCCTCGGCCGCTCACTCCCCTGTCATCTTCAACACTGCGACTTCCACGCAGAGTAATCTCTTCCACACACAGCCCCAAACTCTAAATCATCCGAAACTGGATGACATGGCATCAAAGTACGTCGCCAGCCTGCGGCTCGTCCATCGCCAAGTAAGAAGAACCTTGCCATGTGGTTGGCCATTTCCACTCGAAGAAGATGCAAAAGAAAGGGCCAAACAGAGAATCTGAGAATGCCGCGCCGATAATGCGACGCCTTGTAAACATGAAAAATGAGAAAATCCGACAATTGAAAATCCAATCAAACAGAATCTTTGACCGTGGTCATTATACAGCTCCGATTTGCTCCTCGGTCATGAGTTGAAAAAACAGTGGCTCTTTGTATGCCCGAAACTCCAAGTAGCCCCCGAAAACCCGCATCTCTCTTTTTTGGGTGTTTCCAAACAAACGTCCAGTAGTTTTGAATGCAAGAGGCAAGGATTAACCATCCAAGGCACACCTTTATCGGAAACTCAAAGTAACGCCGCCTCGAATGAACTTCTGACTGCATTAGTCTTTAAATAGAAGTCGCCCCCAGTGCAGGGAGCTGTTGGTGCTTTTGGGCAGGTGTGCATATGCTCTTTGCCTTCTGTCGTTATTGTTGTCATTTCGCTCAGACGCCACTCCAGCCATCCTTTGTTGGCTGGTACGCCTTGTATCCTGGGTAGGTGCCGCCGCTGCTTTGCGGAGGTCGCTGTTCGTCGTCGTCCTCGATATGTTGGTTGCCACCGCTCGGGCCGCGGTTATAGTTGTATTGTTGCGGACGACTGTAGCCAGAGCTGAAGTCAAAACCGCCAGAATCATGCAGGTCCGGAGATGCCATGCTTTGGTCGCCAGTGTAGCTGCGCTGAGGAGCAAGAGGGCGAGTCGACTCTGAAGAGGGTTGACGCGAGTTTGCTCCGTACTGGGGACGACCGTAGTTCTCATTGAGGAACTGGCCTTGCTGATTCTTCTGGTCAAAGCCGTAGTCGTTTTGAGGCGCGGGGGATCGCCGGTAGTCGCTGGGAGGGGGTGGAGGGCCGCGGTAACCGCCGGCTTGAGGACCAGGAGAGCGGCGATATCCAGCCGGAGCGGGGCTGGGTCCATCGCGAGGTGGTGCTGTGAAGCTTCGGGGTATCGGTGCCGGGCTGGGGCCGTTCCGGGGAGGACGGCCCATGCCATAGCCTCCCTGCTCGTAGCTGTTGCCGAAGCCCTGATCGAATTCTTGCTGAGGACGGGGGTACGTCTGACCTCTCTGGGGCCCGTAGCCATTGTTGTTGAACTCTTGGTGAGGTGTACCCCTACCTTGCATCGCCATGCCTCCGGCAGCCATGGCCCCATTTCCATATCCTTGGTCTACGCCGAAAGAAGACGCTGACTGTCCGTACGCTCCATCACTGTAGCCATTACCTGCCATTTCGTAGGGACCCGCAGGCTGATTGGCGTTGGTGAAGTAACCGCTGGGACCGGCCTGAGGATTTTGGCCATAAGGGCTCCTATCACCCGGCATGGGGCTGTTCGGATGGGACATGGCGTTGGGTGCCATGAGAGGCATGTTCTGTCCGTTCGGGTTCGGTGATACAGCCGGTTTGTTCATCTGTTCGAGCTCCACCTCCTCCTCAAGTGCCACCTTCTTCGAGCCTGCACCCTCCCAACTAGGCATCGCGGGAAGTGAATCGGCGTCTGCCGGATTGGCACCTGATTTGCTAACTTCGAATTCAGCATACTGGGGCGGCGCTGCGGCTCCGGAAGCCACGGGTGCTGTTGAATTCGCCTGGTGTGCAGGCGCGGTGCTGGCATTGTTGTAAAAGGGAGCCATGGGCGCCTGGGATTTATATCCCTGATTGTTCGGTCCATACGAATTGTCGTCGAGGTGCTTGTGAGGTGTCCCCTTGGGGGTGTCGCAGCAACCGCAGCAGTTACCACAGCACTTCAAACAGTAGCAACACTGACAGCAGCACGACAGACCGCAGCAAGCGCACCGGATGATACACCATACGATAGAGAAAATGATCAGACCTCCGAAGATCATGATTCCAATGACGGGCCACCTGGGCAAGTTAGTGTGTCGGAATTGAAGTGAGGCCATGACCATAACCTACTTGCAAAAATTAACGGACATGCAATTGTCCCAACTAGACAGCGCCGTCTTCACATCGTTGATCGAGTTTCCGGCGCTCTGTACTGTGTCTGTAATTCCGCGGCTCTGAATGTCCGCGGCCATGCTCGACACCATTGATTCCCACACTCCTCCTCGGAGACTCCTCGCCATGGCGACATCGATCGAAGGCATTTTGAATGATTTTGTTTCGCTTTTCCTCCAACAAAGAACGTGATTCTCGGCGGATTACCCACAAAATTTGGGTACGTCGAGCTTGGTTGGTCGAGGGTGATTGATTTGCGGAATTAGAAGCGGACTATAGCTCCATCATCTCATGGGCTCGATGTTTCGTCGTTTGATCGGCTTGAACGGTGATCGGCAGACCGTTGGGGGATAAGGCGAACCGCTTCGTGGTACAAGAGAACGTCGTCGTCGTGCAGGTGTAACGGGCGGCCGGAATCGCGCAAAACGATCTCACTTGAAGCCAAGATGGCAAAGGAAAGCAAGTGGTAGGCGTGAACAAAAAAAGGTCGAGCCTCGAGAGCCTCAGAGGATAAGAACCGAAATGAGTAGTGCCGCTGTACTGCCGGTAAATGAATGCAAGTCTTCTTCTGTCGTCACTGCCTATGGGAGGGCAAAGCGTTCGCCCCCTTGCGTGGGTGGGCTTGTGAACGGGTGGTAGGGGACGTTGTAGCGAATGGTAGCGACAAACGAGCAAAAAGCCCAGAGGCTTTCGTCTCAAAATGGCACTGAAACTGGGCGGTGCAAGTCAGCAAGCCCGGCAAGGTCCAACAGGATGACCCCGAAAAATAGGCGATCCGTGGCCAACAGATTGGGTGTCTTGGTCTTATTGCTTGGTGACGCTGCTGAGTGCGAGTATTGAGAAAAGGGGTGGGTCGCAATTCGTGTCCAAGCTGTCGAGAGACACGGTTATCCCAGGTAGAATGGAGGCTGTAGCTGAGGGGTGGTCGTTTTCGTGAGACGTGTTGAGGATAAATAAATCCCAGAGTGGCGGCGAGAGAGGCGGAGTACCGGTATTCGTATGGCTTGCTTAAGGAATGACTTTTGAGCTGGAATTCTGCTCTTCTGCTTCGCGAAGAGAAGGAACGAAAAAAGGTAAAATGAGAGACACGAGGAGGACCGTCAAACAGCCTCGGGAATGGCCAAGGAGATGAGACGGAACGAAAAAGGAGCGAAACGGCACAGGACGCAGTCTGCCGGGTTGTCGGAGGAATATGCACCTCGGGAGGTTGTCAAGAAAAAGAGTGACAAGAGGCCGCCGTAGATGAGATGAAGAAGACTTGAGGTTATGTTTCCCTTGACCAAAAGGTCAGAAGAGCAGCAAAACGAGAGGAGGATTTGCAACGAGGTGTGGGAAAAGGAAGAAGGAACGGGAAAAGATTGGCGTGACGCACACAGAGTTACTTTGCCGGGAAAGCCACGAGGGGGACGATCAAAAGTGGCAGTCGGGCAGTCCAGGTGGTCACTGGTAGTGGGATCAAGGAGCAGCGGTAGAAACATCAGCACCTTTCCATTCTCCCTGTTTGACAGACTGAGCTGAGGGACCTAAGAGAGAGCGAGCGCGACGGGACGCCGCGACCTGAGCACAGGGAGATTTCCAGAGGGAAATTTGAATTGCGATCGAGCGCCATGCCACACTCTAGCGGACTGAAGATCCCTGCTCAGACGAACTTGAGTGGGGGAAGCGGTTCCTGACTTCCCGTCCCCCCTTCTGCTTTGCTTTTTTGCTGCGGCTTGTTCAGTCAAATCGATGCAATGCTGCGCTGCTGCCGCCGCTTGGCTTCGCATTCTCTTTTCTGTCTGCCTGCCTGTCTGCAACGCCAACACCCAACGCCCGTGTCCACTTCCACCTCAACTCCAAAACGGCTGTCTGGCAAGTCCCCTTGTAATCGCGCAAGTGCCGTTTTTTCCCTCATGAAGTTCGTTCAGGGGTCGGTTCGGAGATGATTTTGGATCCGTCGACCACAATCTTGATTGCGCCGATGAGCCGTCCCTCAAGTCCCCTCTCCCCCGGCCGATAAGTCAAGGTACTAACTAAAGTAAGGTAAGCACATAAGGTATTAGTTAGCGAGTATTGACTTGCAGCGTGTCTGGTCTGCCGCCGCCGCGCGTGCCCGCCACCCAACTGCACCAACCGTACGGAGCACTTCCGTATTGAAAACGAGACAGCCTGGGGACCGAGGGACCACCAGTTAGTAGCATGCAGAGTCAACATGATGAAACATAGTGCTCTTTTCGTCCTCAGGCATACGTACAGCACATTACGACTTGGCATTGGCCAAAGCGTCTGGGTCGCAACCCCCGTGACAGTGGGCACCCCTTGCTGCCTTCGCTCGCGCTCGGTTATGACGGGAATACGTAAAAAGCCAATGGTTATTTCCAGCCACACCAGCTCTCTGCTCAGCCACAATCACTCGCCACATCCAGCACCCAAGTGAAATGCAGAGTTGCATCAACTCGGCCGAGACGGCGGCAGAGCCCCGGGCCTGACCAGGATACTGCAAATTCGACAGTGGACAGGGCATCTCGGAGACAGGCTCTCCTTCTTGTCTCAGAAAGACCGCCGTCGCTGGCTTCGAGAACAATCCTTGGCCCCCAATCTCACCACCTTGAAATGAACGTCAGGGTCGAGCTAACTGACTAGAGAATCCCGCGAAACACCTGGAAGCGTGGAAGAGTAGCAATGGGCCAGTAAATAGGATCAGGAACGGACGCCACCGTAGTTCAAGAGACCGCTTGCGATAGCCTGAAATCTTACTCTTGCTGCTCCAAGTAGTTGATCTTCGTCAGAGGAGGCGCTCTATCCTGGGACGTCGAGAGTGGAAGCTCTGGGCAGTGGCACCGACACGCACGTCCCAGAAGAAGACCGTCTGGACGTCTAGAAGGGTAATTGAATTCACAGCTGCAGCCCAGTACAATGCAGGGCTCGTCTGATGTGAGACCTATGCTAGTAACTTGACCTGTGCAATAGTCAAGCCCAACGACCTTGCGTTGATCGCGCAGTCTTTGAATGACTTCGTGGATCAGGGCAGATGTCGCATTCCTAGGTATGTTGACATGGATTAAGAGACACGCCCGTCAAAGGTTGGAAATTTCCCATGTCGTCACCAGTCTCGGAAATTTGATCATGGCCATAAAAGCATCGATAATGTTGAAGTCTACTATGGAGTCATAGTCCAGAACTTTCTCGATTCTTTCTCCAGGCCAGGGCTCGACCCCGAATCTCATCGTCATCATACATATTGGCTGGCCCCCATCTTCGTTCCCTCATGGCCCCTATCGTCGTATAAGTCCTTCCAAAGAAAACCTGCCAACGCCTAACCGGGTTGTTTCGCAATCAAGGTATCATCTGTGTGTTCGCAAGTCGTCGTACTCATGACAGTCAAAGAAGTTTCACGCCTCTCCGCCTCGAACTCTTCCAACCCTTCGGAACCCAAACCCCATTATCTTTCATCATCATCATCCGTCTATTTTCCGGGCGGCGGGCCAGCGGGCGGAGCGTACGAATCCCGCTGGTAGGCGTTTTGCGGCTGCTGCAGGTGAATACCCTCGTTGTGACCGCTGTAGTATCCATCGTTGGGGTTGAACGTGGTGCCAGTGTACTGAGGTTGCTGCTGAGCGGGTCCGTAAGCCGGCGGCGGGTTCTGGTAGGCGCCGCCCTGCTGGGGGTAGCCCGCGTATCCTTGCTGCTGGCCGTTGTACGGCTGGTTGTAGGCGTAAGTGCCCTGCTGGTTATGCTTGTTGTTGTTGCTCATCCATCCGGTGCCGTAGAAGGGCTGAACGCCGCGCTTTCTGCGACGGCGAGAGTTCATGCAGCTACATCACAAAAACGTCGGTTAGCCGTGATGAACGAATGCAATGGGAGGTCGTGCCAGAAGACGGGAAATAGCACTGGGGGAGTACCCTAACAAGATGAGGATCAGAAGTGCGATGCCGACGACGACGGCGGCGAGGACCCAGCGGCCCCACCAGTACCATGCGCCGCGTTCATAGCATGCTCCGTTTCTGTAGACTTGACCGGAGCTGCAGTAGAATTGTCTGCGGGATTGACGTTAGCGTCCGGAGGGCATCGCCGGGGGTGTTGATGTATGCAGGGTCTTGCAGATCCATTTCGGATGGCATGCAATGAGGGCAGGAAGGAGAAGGCTTACCTCTTGTCGAGTGAGTCGATGGGAAAGGGTAGAATGTGAACGTTGCCTACAGCGTCCGCCATCTTGATGACCGTGATGTTGTCGCTGGACGGGAAGTTTCTTATTCGTGGCCCCTCGATATTGAAGGTATGGAAAAGGGTGGCCTCTCAGTGGTATGCCGAACTTCTTATGCTGTCGTTGGTGGACAGGGTTCTGGTGCGGCGAATAAAGAAAAGACGAGATGTAAACGGCAGGAGCAGCTGTCTGGGGAGAAGCTTCATCCGACTATTGTATTCCTTGTCTGTGCTTTAGAAGAACCCAACAGCTCACTTTTGCGTGGCGTTTGCTATGCTTTTCGTTGGCGGGGAGGGAAGATGGCGAGTGATGTTCAATGACGTGATGGCTTTTGACGTCCAGTCCGTATGGGCGAGATCCGGTCTAGAGCTCTCGGTCGTGCACAAAAATTAAGGTAAGTTGTACCCGTGGAGAATAGGTAGCGTAGGTAGGTTTTGGTGGGAGGATTGCGGCCTATTTAGAGTGCAATGCGAGACAATCCAAGGTTGAATTAATCAAATAAGAATTTGGATAGTTCCTGTTATGTATCCGTATCCGCAATGTAGGAAGGCAGCAGCGAAGCGCCAGAAGAGAGAGTCAAGACGTTTAGGTTTTTGATTAAGTACAAGGTTGATTGATGGAAAAGACTCTTGAGAAAAAATTAGACGGGGGTACGAGGAAGAGGGGGGAAAAGAGGGATCCAAGTTATATTTCGCCCGACGGCGTGATGAAGAAAGCCAAGCAAACCGTCGCCAGACAAAAGCGACGTCTTGGAGGCTGGGCAGTCACTTGGCCCCAAAGCCATTGCGTGGCCTCCCTCCTCTGCCCAGACTTCGCACACTTGGTCCCCCGGCGAAGCTTCCAGTGATGCCCACACCTTCCTTAGAGCGTGGCCACTCACGATTCACCACCGTCACCAGTCATGAGGTACCTACAGGCTAACAGGCCTACCTTACTTACCTTGCCGTGCTTGCCTTACGGATGGACTCATCATGGGTGGTATGGAATTAGGTACAATGATTGTACTTCCATTGTCAGCCCTCAGCAGCGAAAGTCCCCTCCGACCACACTCTACCGCCGAGTCACCACCAAGCATCTCCAGTGAATCGAATGAATGGGGCCCCCGTCCGGTTAGTTTTCCCTCCGTTCCCGCCGATGTTTTGTTTGGACGGGATGCTTTTTCGTCTGAATCTACCTTAGTATACGTCTCTCTCTCTCTCGCGCGCGGACACTCACCAACTTCACCAAGAAGCTAACGGTCCTCCTCCAAGACACGAACCCATCAAAGCCCCATGCAAGGTACCAACTGGCAACCGCGGATCCTCTCCTCTTCCTCAGGCCATCAAGGGCCCAATACACTATAGTTCACCCAGTCCCAAACTATCCAATAACCCATCACGTCGCCCGGCAATAGTTCTCGTCGAGTCATCGGGGCTCCGGTATCGAATGTGGCTGTGTTCGCCCTTTTCGCCCTCTCGCCTTCTCGTCACCCAGAGAGGCCCGGCCAACGCCCAGTAGCCCACAAGGTGAATAACCGTGGTACCATGGCCTTCGTGAACGAATCGCAAAAGAGCCACTACCGTTTCGGTAAACGAACAAGACAAGAAGCAGAAGAACCTGAGCAAAAAAAGAAAGAATGGGGCTTCAAGGCGGCGCCTGACATCACCGGCACGAGCGAGGCTTGGCCGTCTCCATTCAATTATTGCGCGCCTCCTCTTACCCAACAGCGGTACATTTGGCCGCGGACCCATCAACCGCATCCTCCTCCCAAGGGTTCCTCGTTCACCTGTGGCGATGCCGCGGTAGCGTGACCTCTCCAACCGGGAAGCCTGTGGTGAGGTACAGTAAATAGCCTTTTCCCCCGCGAACCGCCGCTGGGAATTGTAATCATTGCTCACCAAAAAGCCTAACGTGCCTCAATAACATGCGGCCTTCACGGCGGCCCTCTGAGAGTTGGGTTGTTGTTCACCACAACCAACACCATCCCCACCGAGCAAACTGGGCGGTGCACGCCTCGCGAGCTTATTCCAACAAGTTTCCACAAAAAACATCCTCTTATTTGTCATTTACTCGTTGTGTTTCTCTCGTTCACTCATTCTTAGCATGGCAATCATCTTGTCATCCACTTTGCAGTCGCCGTCCCTGGCTTACCTCAGTATTGTGGCAGTGTGGGTTTTTTCAACATTCGTTTGCGGCTTCCGTCTTAGAAGTCCAAGAGCCGGCCTCACCGGCGACGACATACCGGGGGTGGGATCCGGGCAAGGTAAGCTGAAATCACCGCAGCAGACCGATATCTTTCGGTCGTGATCTACCTTACCTGAGCTTGCGGTACATCGTGAACCACAGGGAGAAGCTAGAACAGACCTCTGCGTTCAGTTCCTCTGCTTTCAGCTGGCATGTCTGCCCTCGCTCACCAGTCACCCCACGCGTACCACTGCCAGACACAACTCTAAAGAACCCGGTCACCCGCGACCCGCGAATCCCGGATGTTCTGGAAGAAACGGGAGCTACTCAGACAGCAGAGTCGAAGGCACTGCCGCACTGGCTGGCTACTGACGCTGAGGTGGTGCGGCCGCTCTCCCCTCCCCACCTCGCTCCGCCCAACGCCGGTGACCCCACTACCTTAAGGGACCTTTTACCCAAATGCTGAGATCCACCTCGCCGCAAACAGCAGCCAGCTTCTCTCCAGCTTCTTCGACAAATCCTCGTATACTTGTCCCAGATGATGAGCAGCTTCCCTTCTCTTGAAACTTTCCCTTGGAATAAGGCAACAAATACACTGTAATCTCTCCAAAAAAGACAGACCAGCCTGCAAAGAACCAAGGGTCCATCCCGCGGACCAACAGCTCAATACAGAATGCCCGTGGTCCCAATTTCTAGCACAGCAACTCGACTCGGGCTCGATCAACTGCAACCCGCTACTCATCGCCAAGACTGTTTCCAAAACTTCTAGGCACAACTCTTTCTCGGTATGTCGGCCAGGTTGCCGCGCACTTGGGACGGTCTCAAACCCTTCCTCCGCTCCGTCACCTGAAAGTTTCCGCGACACTCCGGCAACACAAACCCGGCCTTGGCGATCAACTGCCTGTTTCTTTCACCTAATCTCGAGAGTGAGTCTTGTCAAATGGCATATGTCTTTAGATATCTTCACTCTCAAAACTTCAGGAAAGATTTGTTGGGATTCGAGGTACGCTCTTGACATCAAAAAAGTGTAGTCTCTCTACGGACATACGGACCCCAAGCGCTGTTCACCGAGTGAGGGCATGATTCCAGCAGGCGCTGTGAAACACAACCGGTTGACGAATAAACGGAACCCCGGATTTGCCTCCGGACTCGGCCCTGGCCCTCACATTTTCCCCATGTGATCCCTGACCTTTACCCCAGTCCTTCAATAGCCAGATGAAGGATGAGGAACAAACATGCGTCGTGGCCTGATGGCAAAATCCCAAGTGACCGCTGCAGGTCTCAAAACAAAAATCGCAAAAATGGACATGCTCAGCGTCCAACTGAGAGCCGCTCGTGACCCGTAAACACCGATTCGTCGTGACTTTTAGTATCCCTCATGCCGGACTTTGTCGAAAATGAAACCAAACCGAGTCCACACTCCCCAAACGCCGTACCGCCGCTTATGTTGAAAAAGGTATGCGTGTACTTGAAAAGAAAACCCTCGCTTATTTGGGGAACGTGAACCGGGAGGTAATCTTCTCGGGCTCCTTCTTGCCAGACGTCGCTGTCGTCTGCTGCTGCCGCGCCGCGAGGTCGGCAATCTTCTCTCGGGCCTTCATGAGGCTGCTGTTGTCCTGCTGCTTGAGCTTCGCGCGGATCTCGTATAGTGCCATCAGGGTCGATGCGCGGTCCATATCATCTTCGGCCTGTTCATCACCCGTCATGTAAGCTCTCTGTCCCGTTCCAAGTAGTGGTTGTTGTTGGTGCTGCTGCAAGGTGGTGGTGGTAGTGCTTCGTACATCTGAGTCCCTCTTGGGCGTGCCTGGGATGGAGCCCTGGGCCGAGTTGGAGCGCGACAAGGCGGGCGGGCTCATCATGATGCGACGGCCGAACTTGTCGACGCGGGCGGGCGAAGCGGTGCCTGTACCTGTCCGCGAGGTCTGGGAACTGTGCGTGTGAACGCGGCGGAGTTCATCGGTGGGCCGCCTGGGCAGTCCGGGGGCGGCGGGGTTGGCGCTGGTCTTCTCAACCGTCTGGATGGCCTTGTTTGCGGTGACGAGAGCGGCTGCCGCGTTGGGTTCCTGTGTCGGAATGAGGTCATCAGCACTTCTGTAGGCAGGACAAATGGGCGAGTTGAGGAAAAGTTTATTGCGGATCTGCTTCCTTCCCATGAGCCCCTGCAGCCGCCGAAGCGCCCAGCGCATCGCATCGCAGAGGGAGTTACATGGGCGAGTCAGAGAATGCGACCGGGACGAGAATCGACAATAGTAGAGAGTAGGGAACGAGGGAAACAAACGGCTGCGTTGAGGCTGCTCAGGTCGGCAAGCATCTGCGCCAGCTGGAGGCTCTCCATGGCGACTTTTAGTGTTGGGTCTGCGGATTCTTGTTGTTGGTGGTCTCGTGTCGTGTAGTGCGTAGAATGGAGAATGCTGTCAATTAACAATGCAGTGTTGATTAATGGGCTAAGAGTGGATGCAGGCAGTTAGCAGTGAATTTGGCCGAGAGGAGAGTGAAAGTGGGTGGATCTGGGCAGGGAATGGACATGGAGCATCATAGCATGGGGCATAAGGTAGAACCCACCGACGCCGTCATTCCAGGTCAAGGCTAAGGAGACTTTTTGACTTTTACGGCCAGGTACCACTGGCCACAAGTGCCTGACAGTGAGGCTCTTTGTGTCGGGTCTGTGAGAGATGTCAGAGGTGGGGGAGAAGGGACAGAGCGGAGGGTGCGTGAGCTAGTGTTAAGGGCTGCGCTGTTATGTGTTTGTGTGTGTATATGTTTTGGCTAAGGTGTGATGATGAATAGGAAAAGGGCAGGTATTCACCGCGTAGCGATGTTGATAAACAAATTTGGCAGCAATGATCAGGCTGTGTGTGGAAGGTGACTTAGGTTGATGGAGGACCAATGCCACCTTGAAATGTGATGTGTGAGGTGTGCCCTATGGCATGGGGTACGCAGTGACGATACGTATATCACAGTAGAGTACGGGGATATGGGGAAAGATCAAAGACATCAACGTCTACCCCGCCGGAGACAAGGTAAAGGAATAGTTCCAAGTGGCAGATGGCAGCAACAAAGTGTCCTTACTGGGCCTTTCATTGGCCAACCATCGGATCCGGTGCAATGGTCTGTCACTTTCAACTCTGTCTTCCCAGGTGAAGGTACCTGGTAGGTCGGTAGGTAAGGTACCTTGACTTGAGTCCAAGTCGATGACCAAATCCACGAAACCGAGCTGGAGGGAGGGAAGGAAGCGGGGTGAGAGACACAAGGCACCTTCCCCACACTGGGCCATTTCAGCCACATTGAGCACCCCAGGCCCTTCCTTGTCCCCGCTGTCTTCTGGCCACTCATGCGACTGCTGGAACATCTGTCGCCTGCTCTCCCCGACCGGTTGGGCGGGAAGTGTCTCCCCCGAAGCTTCAAGTCGATCCCGTCCAATCGAGGCCAGCTTCAATCCAATCCAGTCAGTTCCCAGAGTGGCAGACTGCCAGATCTCGCCTGCATTGGACTGCTTTCTGCACAGGCCCTTCTCATAGGTATGCAAGCTTCAATGGTTGCCGCCGATTGACGCATCCGTCCTCCGAATCGCCTGGACCAGATTGGCAAGCCTCCGTGCCTAGTGCCGGCAGGTCTCCCGACGCACCCAACTTTCCAACCAGTGCAAAATCTGACTAAGCATCCTCGAGCCTCCCAGGCCTGCGTTCCCCGGTTATTCGGAGAATCCGACACTGGCTCCGGCATCGCTTCGGCATCCTTTCCGAAGCTCGTTATCAACCTCACGCCTTCTCATAAATCAACAGACCTCAAATCTTGCAAGAATCTGTAACTCGAGGAGACGCAAATCACAACCGCCAAGATGTCCATGGTTTTCAGACGCTCAATGGCTACCGCCGCCTCATTGAAGAGGGCCGGTAAGGTCATGTGCATTGGCCGCAACTACGCGTGAGTGATTCGTCAACAGCCTCTTGACTCTCACAAACATGAGATGCGGGCACAGAAAGGAGAAGAGAGGGCTAACAACCAATTCATAGTGATCACGTCAAGGAGCTCAACAACACTCGCCCCAAGCAGCCCTTCTTCTTTCTTAAGCCCACCTCCTCTATCCTCCTTCCTGGAGCGGGCCCAGTGCTGAGACCCAAGGGCGTCGACATGCACTATGAGGTCGAGCTCGCTCTCATCCTCGGCAAGCAGGTCAAGGATCTCAAGGCCGATGACCACAAAGGCGCCATCGACGCCATTGAGGGTTCGTCTCACTTACTCGGGGGACATCATCCCCCTTCTTGCTCTCACACCTACTGACACCCAAGACAGCCTACGCCCTCGCCATCGACATGACGGCACGTAACAACCAAAACGAGGCCAAGAAGAAGGGTCTCCCCTGGTCCATCGCTAAGGGCTTCGACACGTTCCTGCCCATGAGCGACATCATCAAGAAATCCGCCATCCCCGACCCCCACGACATTGAGCTCTTCCTCAAGGTCAACGACGTCGTCAAGCAGGAAGGCTCCACCAACCTCATGCTCTTCCAGATCCCCCGCATCCTCAGCGACATCTCCAAGGTCATGACTCTCGAGGCCGGCGACATCGTCTTGACCGGAACCCCCGCCGGCGTCGGCCCGGCCGTGCCCGGTGACGTGATCCGCGCCGGTCTCCGTGTCGGCGGCAAGGAGCTGGCCGAGGCCAAGATTGAGGTTGCCGTTGAAGAGTCTCCTAGCTCGTACGAGTTTGCTGAGACGTAAGTGTTGGTTTATGATGAAAACAGGGAAGTGGCCTATCGAGAGAAGGGGGAGGGTTTGAGCGATTTATCTGCAATGTTTCACGGAAAAGTCATGTAGGGTCTCACATAAAAAGGGGCCCGAGGTGCGAAAATCCCCATCTGGATCATCTAGATCATCATGATCGCATGTACTTTTAAATCATATAGACCGTCTGCTCGCCTTCGCCTACAACAAATACCCAAACCTTAAAGATCACAAATCTGACCTCAGAGACGAAACAGCTCTCTCTCACCCGCTCATCCACTCATCGAAAGGTAGCGCAGGTCACTTCACTCCAAGTTAGGATCCTTGATTGACCCAGGCTTCGGCGCCGCCTCAGCAACAACCCCACACTTCTTACACGTCCTCGCCCCGTCGTCAGCCTTGAACGCCTCAACAGCAGCCTTGATCTGCGTGCCGAGGTCGGTGCAGTGGAAAGCCGCCTCGTGTACGACCTCGCGGCAGGACTCGCAGTACCAGCGCATGCGATCGATGGAGCCTTCCGGTCGTCGCTGCTCGAGCACGACGCCGACCGTGTCGGCGAAGCGGACGGGGTTGTGCGGGGTGTTGCCGGGGAGCAGGAACATGTCGCCCTCGCGGATGATGACGTCCTTGAAGACGCCCTCGTCGACGACCTTGAGCATCATTGCGCCCTTGTACTGGTAGAACCACTCGGGCGTCTGGTTGATGTGGTAGTCTGTTCGGGCGTTGGGGCCGCCGACGATCTAAGGCTCGGCGTCAGAGTGATGATGAAGATGGTGGGGGCGGGGGCGAGGGGTCAAGGGGATGAGTTTTGAGTTGTTGTGCTTACCATGACTGTGAAGTCCTCATTGTAGACGCAGTAGTTGTTGATTGGGGGTTTGAGGAGGTGGGAGTTCTCCTCTAGCCTGAGTGCGTGAGAGAGACGTTAACATCAATTGAGCCCCATTGCGAATAGCCTCACAATCGCATGCTAAACAGAGCTAGGTGGCATAGGTTGAGTTGGAACTCACCACTTGGGCAGGTTGACTGGGGGTCCAAGCATGATGGCTGCTTGTCGTGTCGTGAGTCACTTGAGCTTGTTTCGCGTTTTAATGAAAACTCTTCTTTGTAAAACTCCGTCGTCAATGATTCAACAATTGTGGGTTGCCGAAGTTGAAGATGAAGATGAAATCGGGTGGTGAGGCTATGAGAAGGTCGAGATAAGTTGATACCCTCCCCTCCTTCACTTCCGTGGCGAATGAGATATTTAGGCTTTGGATGACTACTACAACTCAATGATGAGGCTGCATTTATCAGCCGCCAGAGCTCTCATTCCGGACGAGCCCGGCGGAGCCACTGGAGAGAGTTGCGGGCCGCCCACAGCGGCGGGTAAGGTAAAGTGCGACAATCTATGAAGGTGTTGGAGGAAACCTCCATACAGTTACAGAGAGATGTGAAATGGATATCAACATATTCTCATCGCTGACAGCCACATGTTAAAGGTCGGAATCACTCCATATGGTTAGTCCTTCACGAGCTTTGGGATGCTGGTTCACCGGCACAGTCAGCCATAGATTGGCAGTTGGTAATAGTATCCGTACGTAGAGTAGCTGAGTATTAGGTAGGTCATAGGTAGACTGAAGACTCCGGGCAACCGAGAGCGAGCGGCGACAATGACCGCGACCCCTCTCACTAGAAATAACCCCGCCATACCAACACGTCCCAGGCTTCGAGGCTCCATTGTGTAACCCCAGGTACGATTTCCAACGAGAGAGAACATTACAAGTAGAATGTCACTGGTAAGCCACCTGGCCGGTCCCATGTGACGCCCGGCCTGGCACGTCTGAGAGTGTGATGGGGGAAGGAGGGGACCACCCGCCCCGCCCTACCCGTCTCGTCCAGCGCCCACTTACCCGCCTCACGGATTGTCGATCTTACAATCCGCCTCCAGGAAGACGGCGTCTGAGTCTCACAGCATCAGTGCAGGGCATCACCATCCTACAAACCTGCATGCTCTAGCCCCTGCCTACTTAAGCAGCATTCTACGCAGTAGAGTTTCGGGCGTGTGCAGGACGGCAAGAAGAATACAAGAGACATTTCAGACGAGTCAACGCCTTAGCCGCCGCGACGGTCTCTTACAGGCCTTACCCAGCCAGCATCCCGCCTCTTCACGTCTCTCTCAAAAGCCCCCCCTCGAGTCTCACGAGGACAAGCTATTCCGCCTTAGCCCCAGCACGTCAGCTTCCCCCGTTTGATTTAGTTTTCGCTAAAGTATTCTTTGTTATGCTCGTACACAGACAGCCTGCTACTGACCACTTCCCTACACCGACACAGCAGCGGCAAGCGTGCTAAAGGTTCTGGAAGGTAAAGTGTTGGCTGGTAAGGTAGATGGAGAGGCAGCGCAAGAAGGGAACACCCCGTCTCAGAGGCTGGGAACCTGCGCACATTTGAGCGAGTTTCCATCTCATCCCCAAAAGCCACGGGCCGCCACCCCTTCTTCAGCCTTAGTCGTGAACGTGCAGGATAGCTTGTACATATTCTCCGGTAAAACATTACTTTGCAATAAACGATAACATATTTTTCCACTCTTCAGCAATTTTCCACCGTTTTCTCTTTCCCGGCAGTCATCAACCGAATCGTTGCTAGCTCCCGCTCCGTACAGATACAAGATCGCTGGACACCATCGGAACCCCTACCACCACGGTACCACCCCCGCGAAACCCGTACCCTTACCGTTATCCATTCTGGAACCGACATACCCCCGGTCCCGCATATCTCACTGAGGTGACTGACCGACCGACCGACCACGCACTGGGCAGACGCAACCTCTCCTTTTCAACAACACATCACCCATCTCGAAACCGTACCGAACGAAGCACGCAATATCCCAATTTACCTGCTAGAAAATCCTACAACGAGCTTTCGATAACCAAGCCTTCCCTCGAGAACCACCCCAAATACCGATCAGTATGGACCACGCGCACATGGATCACTCAAAGATGGACCACTCCGCCATGGACCACGGCGACATGGGAGGCCATGGAATGGGAGGCGGCATGGGCGACCGGTGCAGTATGAACGTACGTTTCTTCACATATCCCGTCATACCTGCGCATGCCATGTGCTCCCTCTACAACTTCCTCTTCGAACTATCGCGGAATCCCCTCGCGGCGGCCCCTCAGTTCTCCACGAGCCGGCCGTAGAGCTCCTCTCCGCAATTCGCTCCTCGGAGCTCAATGTCAAGATGAAAGCACAGCTCAAAGCTAACCCGCGTTCTCTTCTAGATGCTTTTCACCTGGGACACCAAGAACCTCTGCATCGTCTTCCGCCAATGGCACGTCCGCTCCACCAGCGGCCTCGTCATCTCGCTCCTCCTCGTCGTCGCACTCGCCGCAGGCTACGAAGCCCTCCGCGCCGCATCCCGTCGTTACGAGAACTCTGTGAACAAGCGCGTCGACTCGCTCCCGAGTAAGCACCCTCTCTCCTCCCGGCAGTCGCCACCACACATACATATACATAAACCTGTATCACACACATCCTCTGTATACCAAACAAACTACCTTTCGCCCATGATCCTACGCCCACATGCTTCCCATCTTCCACATACACATTACCTTGAAAGCTGCGCTCCCCAACCTAGCGCCCCTCTTTCCGAACGACGTAGAGGTGGACCTCGGGCGAGCGCATACATCCCCTCACTCCCCTTTGCATCAAACGTGATACCGAACACAAATGAGCTAAGAAGTCTTGTGTCTTTCGAGGCGTCGCTGGAACCGTTACTGAGACAACCCCCTTCCTATGGACAGGACGCGAACAGGCAGAGGCCAGCAGGAGCGCACACCTCGTCAAGGCCGCCCTCTACGCCGCCCAGAACTTTTACGCCTTTATGCTCATGTGAGTTTTGAACCCTTTTCCCCTTTTCCCAGTTTTGCGTGCCATTTTGGATGCAGCTGGCTTTTTTTCTCGATGGAGGAAAGAGGCGAGTTTGGAAGATGCGCAAGTTAGAGAGAAGAAGGAAATTCGGCACGATGCAAGGAAGAAGCGGCTGACGAGAAACAGGCTCGTTTTCATGACATACAACGGCTGGGTCATGGTCGCCGTCGCCATCGGTGCGTTTGTGGGATACGCCGCCTTCGGAAGCTCAACCTCCTCGACCAAGGATAACGCATGCCATTGATCGGATTCCCCTTACTTTCGCACAAGGTCCCGGGCGGCCTCGACAAACCATAGACATGCTTTTGTATTTTCCCCTTGCACAATAGGTTCTTTTGGAATATCAACGGTGGAGGGGCGTTCATCGATCTGTTTTGATTTTTATAGCATTAGCTTCCGACTCCCTATAGGCCGAAGACAGGCGGCGGCGGTTGAGTCTAGCAACACAAAGAGACCCCCCCCCCCTTTTAATATGGGGGACAGGACTCGGAATACATATGATGTGCTCAAGCAAATATTCATTCATCGTGGCGGCTGCGGTTGCTCTAACTGCGGCTGCAGACTCTATATATGTGATTTCTACATATTGAAGGCGGGCGATGCATATAAACACCCCCAGATCCTGACTCTCTATCCCGCCCCAACAACACAACGGACTACGTACGTCACATCTTCGCAGGCTCCGCCTTCTCCCCCCTCCCACCCTCCGCAGTCGTACTCGTCGAATTCGTCGTCGTCTCATCCCTCTTCCTCTTCTTCTCCACCAAGCTCCCCTCCCTCTCCGCCTGCAGAATAATCTCCTCGTCGCCAAAGTGCCCGTTGCACTCAAACTCGGGATTTTTCCCGTACGCGATGCGCGCGCAGTCGACGAGCATATGCGCCGTCAGGCCCCACACTTTGAACCGCCCGCCACCCTCTTTATCCTTCTCCTCTTCCAACTTCTCGGCGAGGTTGCTCTGCGGGTGATCCACCTCCATAGTATTTCCCGGCGTCGTGACGCGCTGGTCGTCGACGGGGACGTAGAAGTTGTGTACGCGCCAGGGGTGTTCTTTCCACTGGATCCAGCTGCCGTCGTACCAGTGGCCCGGCGGGAGGACTTTCGATGACGAGGACGGGAGGTCGGCGTCCTTGGACCGGAGAAAGTTCTGAAAGGGCGCGGAGAAGACGGCGGCGACCTCTTTGGCGTCCAGGCGCGGGATCATGCGCTCCTCGACGAGGGGGCTCGGGTCGTCTTCGTCCGGGTCCTCGTCGGCATGGAGGAAGGCGACGCAGGGGCGGACGACGAGTTCCGTGCGGGCGAGGTTGTAGGGGAGGTAGCAGAGGGGTTCGATCTTGAAGGGTTTCGGGATGCGGGCGTCGTCCATGGGCAGGCCGATTTCCTCCCACGCTTCTCTCCTTGCGATTTCGTCTGTTGCGGTGGTTAACTACACGGCCTATACACTTGTTGACAGCGTGGGCGGTGGACCCCGTTGGTATCACGACTTACACGGTGTTTCTTGCAGTGTATCCGCCTTGCCTCCCGGGAAGGCAGCGTGCCCGGAGAAACTGCGCAGGCTGGCCGCGCGCATCGTGATGACGACGCGCAGGTCGCCTCTGCGGTCGGCGTAGAGGAGAATCAAAACGGCCGCTCGGCGGCTTACGGGGAGTCTGTCCCAGAGCGGGAATGCGGGCGGTACATATCGTCTCAGGCGGGCGATGGCCGCCTTGGAGCGCATTAGCATCCTGTTTGCGCAGAGATACATGGCCGGCAGAGGTGCTTCATGTACTGAAACGATAAGATACAACAAAAGGAAAGGAAAGACAGAACAGCGAAGATGGGCAAGAGACGGCGTGCGAGGGAGCGGACGCGAGAGGAAGGAGAGGAAGGGCCAAGAGGGCATCAAGTCATGAGTTCACGGGGTGATACAGCGCTTGATATGCGGCGACATGATGATGGGCAGCAAGATAGAGCAGGAGGGGGGTAACAGGGCGTGAGAATATAGCTTCACTTTGGGGAGATATAATACATGAATGGTGATAGGTTGAGGAACACATGCAAAAAAGCGAGATCGGGGTGACTGCAACGCTGCATCTAGGTCGCATCGACCCCAACTCCAATCTACATGGACATCTAAGGGGGAGTTCATGGGGAAGCAGGAAGCAGACGGAGCGAAGAGAATCAAGAAGGTAACTAACCGCAGATACTGAGTTGAGGGGAGCCATGGCTCCAGCATCCCAGTAGCTCGTAACCTCTTCGTGATCGTCGAGGATGAGGATACCCTCTGGGTTGGGGTTACCGTTGTCGTCGGTGTCGTTGTTGTCGTTCGTCTCGTTAGTAGCAGCAGTAGTGGTGGCGGCCGGATCCTTGGCGGCAGCGGCAGCGGCGAGCGAGGTCTTGATCTCGTGGACCTCCTGATCCGTCGGTGGCGTGGCCTCGTCTAGCTGCTGCTGGTGCTGCAGGGCTGGCGACGCCGTCGCGGTGCTGCTGGTGGTCGTTGTAGTCGTAGTCGTAGTGGAAGACGCAGTATTACTGGTGTTGGTTCCCGTGGTTGCTGCAGCGTCTTCGGAGAGGGACGGAGGGGAGGTTGGGGCCGGCGAGGGGTCCGTCGCGGCCGCTTGGCTCATTTCTCGGTCTTATCTATCCGATGGGGGGTGGGGGAGGGAAGAAGAGGAGAGGAGGATGAGGGGGAGGAAGAGGTGCAGGTTTGCAACTCTATCTGCGCACCTATGGATCGAATGAGATGAGGATGGAAGGGGGTTGTTATGAGGAGTAGGTAAGCGTGGGCGTGTGATTGAGTGTGAACGGGAGCTCCGGTTAGAGGTCCGGACGAAGGATGGCCGACACGAGGAAGCGAGGTCCAGGAAGAATGCGGCGTTCAAGCGTTCAGCGGTCGTGCGCGGGGAGAGTCAAGGGTGGTGGAGGAAGAGGAGGGGGGCGGCTGCGCGTGTTCTTGCCTAGAAGGTCACGGACGTGAGACGTGGTTGGAGGAGGGTGAATGACGGAGTTGCTGTGTGCTTATCCAAGGCAACCTAAGGTAAGGTCTTTCAGAGTGTGTATGGAGTATGTATTGTGGTTGGAGTTGGAGAAAAGGAGGAGGAAACCGAGGGCCCAGAACAGTCAGTCACCTTGTGCGAGCGTGTGTCTTGGGGAAAGTTGTTGGAAAAAGCGCCGAGCCGAATTGCGGGGGTGGGGTTAGTTAAGATATCCCGAAGAGCCAAGTAGCCGGGGCAGTATGGAAGTACGGAATGAGTCAACAGCAAGTGCCTAGGGACAGCAGTCAAATGAGACATCCTTCCGAGATCTCATTCTGAGGTATCACTTCTGCCCTGAAGGCTTACTTATGGTCAAATCTCATTGGGTCGGCAAGCTAAGGCATCTTGTTTCCGTGGGAAGCAGGTTACAACCATAAGGTACCGTACCTAGGTAAAGCATGTCACCGGGTACCTTATGACTCCAAGGTACGTCTCGGCGGGTCTCTCACCTGAAGCTCGGCAGCCCGCGGCCCGGCGAACACGGAGGTCCCACGGAGCTTGCCATAACCCAAACTTGTCATTGGTCCGGGTTGACGTCTTACATGGGAATGCGGGACTCTTTCCCGCTATTACTTATCGATTACTTTATTACAGGAGGGGGAGCTGTTCACGTCACATAGCTTCGGGCGCATTCAGACTTTGGCTTTGCATCCACCGGATTCGTCTGCATATTGTAGAAAGTAGAGATTATCTTCTTTCACTCCCTATAGATTGTTCTTGGTAGGAATGTCTATCTAAAGGTAAAGTAGTCATCTGGACTTTTGCCAGGTTTCATGGATTGACAGAGACGTAACACGCACACTGCCCAAACAATGACAAACGCTTCTTCGCTTTTCAGAAAGGACAAGGAAGAGGCAGACAGACCAGCGAGCAGTCTAGACACCCCCCTCCCATGACAAACAAGCAACGCTAAACACACAAACGCCGAGACATGACACCATCCCAAGTCTTCTGGCCCAAGCCAGCTGTTCCCTCCCTTGACGCGGACCAGATGGTTCGCATCCCAAGGTACCTTACCCAGCGTCCTAAGCAACGCGGGCAGTCCGCGCCCCGAAACGCCACGCCGGCGCCGTCCCATAGTGCCCGGCTTACACTACTCGAGCGTGCTACCCTCCGGTATCACCCGGATGCTCTGCCGTAGATTTTCCCTCCGCCGTTCATCCTTAGTCAGAACCATCGAGTTCGCTGTCCTCTTGAATTGAGCCGCCAGGCCCTGCATTGAACGCCGGCTGCTCATCCTCTTCAGTCCGGGTCCAGCTTGTGTAGGTGAGTCGGGCACCGGCGTAGTTGTGGTGCTGCGAGGTTCTGACGTCGGCGGTAAGTCGGTTCCTGTCGTGCCCTCTGAAACCACCCTCCTGTGCTCGCCGCTCCATCGGAATACGCGAGAAAGGGCGTCCGAGTATTTGACCCGTAGACGGTCGTCGTCCATCGAGTGTGCGTGCATATCCGGGTGAAGCGACCTCAAAGACTGCTTTCCCACGGTAGAGCCCGTCCCAGGGCCCAGTGATGACGGTGACTGAGGGGTCGTGTTGATACCCGTGGGTGGCCGCTTCCTACCAGACTGAAGCACCTTGGCCGCGAAACTCAGCCTATTCTTTGGCGGCCGAATAGAACTCCGCCCTGACTCCATGCTGTCTCGGGAAGATCCCGCAGTCTTCTTCGCCGAGTTCGCAATCGATGTCGCCGTCGCGTGGTAGAGGTCCTTGGCCCCCACGTAACTGACTTCCATATGGTTATTTCGCCGTGCGGGAAGCGTCTCGAAGTGGTGCATACCAGGCGATCTCAGGCATCCAATCTCAGAGTCCCGACGTCGCGGGCTCGCTTCGTCAAAGTCCAATATCTCTACCCGAGGCGGCACCGGAGATGCAGGTATCCACGACGGGTGGTTCCTCCGTGAACTGGGACTAAAGTCCCATTCACTGCTATCAGGTTCCGAGTCGTCGTCGTAGTCGTCGATCAAGCTCAAAGTTCGGGCTGGCTCCGAAGTCGATGCCGGCTTCTCCGAACTAGGCTTCTCTGTGCTGTGAACACTGCTGGACTTGTCGGGTGTAGCTGGCATCAGCGTTTCCGAGACCAACGGTGAACGAGGTGGCCGGGGGGGCGTTGGAGTGAAGCCACTAAAGTCAACATCCAGCCCAGTGATTTGTTTGATCTTTGCCGATGATCGATGAAGAGTACACGGGCTTGTAATTGGTGTAGAGAGACGCCGGACAGCCAATTTTCTGATTTCTGGTTCGGGTCGACGACTCTGAGGCGAGCAACTCCTGTGTTCTGATCTTGGTGATACAGGTGATAAGGGAGTCGGGCTATGCTGAATCAAGATTGTGCTGATCTCATTCTCCAGTCTCTCGATTGTCTCGGATCCCTCGGTAGGTTCCAATCTCGAAGGGGACGGTGATGGCGTCGTCCTGGCACGACTTCGCGACCTCGAGGAATTCCTTGTAGTCGATTTTGTTTCGATGGATATAGCTGAAGTAACTGACATGGCCGACATGACAGAAAAGGCCGAAACTTGGCGATAAAATCCTGGGCGGAGAGGAGGCAGCGGCGGGAGAGGTTTCTTGTCGTAAGTGCCTCTCGGCTGCTGAGGAGGCAGCTCGCCTCCCGGCGGTATTGCAATCTCCAAACCAGGCGGAAGCTGGCTGGGAATAATTCGAGGCTCCATGATGGTGGACATCTTGAAAAAGCGGCGGGTTTCGTCGATGTGGTGTGGTAAGAGGGAAAACGAAGCAGGAAAGTGTCGCCTAGGACGAAATCCGGGATTCTGGCGCAATATGTCCCATGCCACTGGTAGCCACCGGTTCAAATGACAAAGCTGATGACCGAGACACTTTGATCGGATGCGGCCAGACGATTTTCTAGAAGTGAACTCGAAGTTCTTTGTCGGACTTGTTGACTGAATCGGGAATGGCTAGCTTCGAGGGAATGACTCTGTCGACAAAGGAGGCTTCTATGCAAAGTGCAGGCCAAGCAGTATCAATCAGCCTCCGTCAGGTAAGGCCGCTTCGGTTCCAGTCCAAAAAATCCGCAATCTCTAGAAACGTGCTCTTCCCCATGAAATGATTTGGGCGAGAGCCAGATTTGAAAAGAGTTTGTTCTCGAGGGGCCCGGATCACTGTATCTATATTCGAAGCAGACAAAGCCCCCCAGCCGCCCGCCGTCCAGATCGGATATTGCCATGCTGGACGTTGTTTGCCAACAATATTGAGCCACCTTTACGCCATCCAATGAACTCAATCAGTGGCCACACCTATCCCGTTACCTGCTTAAATCAGTTTGCTTGTTTGTTCGTGTTGCCCCATGGTAAAGGATGTCGGGATGCATCAAGAACTCCCCCCGATCATGTCCTTGCAAGTCGTTGGATCACAGGGCTGACGCAGTGGTTATCCTGCTCCCTGTGCCACCCCTGGCTTCCCACCTGATGAACCACTTGCTCCATATTAGTAGACGCGGGACGGTAGGATCATGAGTTTAATCGACTTTGACAGCGTAGAACAAGGGTGTTATTGGAGGATCCCACCATGGATGCTTGGCTGGTATTCCAAGGCTCGGGTAGTACTAGCTTCATCAACCGTCAAAAGACACTCAGTCATTATAACCGCGAGCCATCAAGAGGGACAAAGAAGCCAAGAAAACTGTTGCGCCGCGTGCTGGGCGACAAACACGCTACTCTTCAATCTGAAGAAGCGCCTCCATATTGGAAACCGGCAAGCCGTGCTGTCTAGAGTGGAGGTAAATCGCATGGCTGTGAGAGGCATGCAATACAGCAGAAAGCTGAGCGCTCCTATCTTCTTCACCAGCGAATCTGCAGTATCATTATGCCGTACAATCGAATTCCCAAAAGTGCATCGACGACGTTGGTAACTAGGCAAGTTGCGCCCGCAGGCCTTCTCCAAACCTCTGACCCGACTCCATGGCTCGAGCTAGATGATCTCAATCGGCGGCATGGGTAGAGGAATCCCGGCCTCCCCCGCCGACCTCGCCGGAGTTTGCAATCAAATGAAGATGGGTCTGCCAAGATAACCCCGTGGGGCTTCGTTAGTGATGAGCCGCTTTTTCCGGGACGAGGGCGATCTTGGAGATCTTCCGCTGGCCTTCTGAGACACAGGGATTGAATAATCGTCTCTCGGCTAGCACCATGAGCCTGACTGAACCCTCCTCTGCACTCCGTACATGCTGATATAAGTTAGGTAGGTATTGGAAGATCTCCAGAGCTTGGCCGTTGAAACATGGAAGAACCGTTTGAGGGGCTGGATCTTGAATGCATTCGGGACAAGAAATGGCACATGGCCTGACAAAACTTCTGATTTGGTAGGTGTTTCCGCGTCATGGAACCGCAAACGGAACGAGATATTGCGGACCCCTCGTTCAGCAGACCATGGGCGGGCCGCTGCTGCTCTGTATGACGTTATCTTTGGAATCCATCTCCGGTGCCGGTCTGGACCCGGAAGACCGGAGAGAGATAGACTTTTCTATGTTTGGAAGCTTTTCAACCAGTTTATTCCATTTCCGACGTTAAAAATATGACTGTCTGGTGTCTGGCCTCGAGGGTCTTCATCACATGAGTAAAGTCGTCTGCGGGCTGTCGCCAACCAGTCTGTAAGTCTCAGTCAAACTCGGTGACGAGACAGTGCAAGCGCTGTCCCGCGCTCCGAGAATGAATCTTTCACGAAAAGGTCTTTGAGGCTCGGGGCGAGATCACTTGGCGGGTGCCATGAGAAGTGGCGCATCGATTCTCCCTGACTGGACGTGCTTCGTGACGGGCCGCGGCCCGGTAACTTTTCCTCGACGACGCACTGGATGGCAAGACAAGCAGCGGGGCGTACCCCGGAGCTCCCAATTAAGAAATCAGTCTTGATCAATGAAGTGCTGAACACAAGCACAAATTCGTCCCAATTATGCAAAGACGAAGTTGGATGGGCATTTCCAAAGTGCTCAAGCCTAACCCACATCGGTCCATCCCTAGCTAGTCGCTCAGAGCTCCCCAGAGCGGGCTTTGTGAGAGACCTAGACGAGAAGGTCTTCCTAAGCCAAAGAACATTTGTACGGTATACCCAGAACGGGCCAGAGACGGTGGATTGTCGGAAGTCGGACTTTGATGCCTGGACTAACATTGCAAGCCGCCCGCCGTCCCGCACTGCTCAGAAGGATGGCAGGAGGATCGGAACAAAATGATGCTAGCACGACCTCCTTTTTCGATCCCATCATAAGCCTTTGATCCTTATGCAAGTTCGTGCGAAGGGCTGACATTCCGCCGCTAAGTCAAGCACTGGCCCGTCCCGGCAAGTGGGAGCCAATGCCGTCCCATCTTGTGTCTCGATGGCGTGCAGACCATCGCAGAGCTAGTCAAGGGGTTGTCCCCCCCAAGCTGCTCTCCCTTCACAGCACCGGCAGTCTAGAAGGGGCCGGCCCAAAATCGAGCCCAGGACCTGATTTTACGTGTCTCTGGCGTACGTCAGCTCTATCAGTCGGCTTCTTTAGATCCAGCTCGAACAAGGAATAATTAGCACGTGTATGTGTTGTTGGAGGTCAATGCTGTAGGAGGTAGCAAGTTGTGGCCTGGCATTCCGTGTTGCACGGCGGTTTCGTCAATAGCGTAGTCGTATGTCTTATTCCTTCAGCCCAGCTGCTCGAACTACTCGCTGGGAGTAAAACCTACTGAGCTCCATCTCAAAACTTTCTTTCTGCATTCCTCTTACATTTGTCTGTCTTTCTCGTGGTGCGTTTGTGAAAATAGGCTCATGTAGCCGTGCCCCCCATTACGATGATCCGCCGATATGTGAGCCCGCGGCGACGGCCGTCGCGTTTCCGACTCCCCAGCTGGCTTTGGCTGCTTCTCGCGTTCGGTGCGATGGAGTCGGTACTTCATTGCAGAACCTTCAATGCGCCACGGCCAACCATCGAGCAAGATCAGCCCTTCTACACGTCTTGTCGCGAACCAGATGTGACAGGCAAACGTGAGAATGGAGTTTTGGTGATGTTGGCGAAGAACTCGGAGCTCAAGGAAGCCAACCATACGGTCGCCTCGCTTGAGAAGCACTTCAACCGGTGGTTCCACTACCCGATCGTCTTCCTCAACAACGAGCCATTCGACGACCGTTTTATCGAAGTGTTGAACAGTACGGCGAGCGGAGGAGCAACATTTGAAGTGATTCCGCAGGAGGACTGGACATTTCCCGCGTGGGTCAACCAAACAGCCGCGAAGAGCAGTATCGTTGAGCAAGGGGCGCGGGGCACCATGCATGCAGGCCAGGAAGGTTACCACCATATGTGCCGTTTCTATTCAGGGTCAGTGACAATCCCCTAACGTCCAGCTTAAGCTTCTTGGGGGCGCGTACTGACTTTGATGCCTGCAGGAGTTTCTACCAGCTCGAAGCTTTGCAAAAGTACAAATGGTACTGGAGACTGGAACCCGATGTCGATTTCCTCTGCTCGATTACCTACGATCCGTTCGTGGAGATGGCTCGGCGGAAGAAGGTATACGGCTTTACAATCTCCTTATGGGAAGAATGGGACACGGTGCCGTCACTCTTTCGACACACGGCCGAGTTCAAGGAGGCGTTCGATCTGGCGTCTTCGGCATTGTGGAAGGCCATGATGGAACCATCATGGCTTCCGTATCCACTGCGGCCGCTGATGAGCCTGCTGCCACACCGCGATCAATCTGGCGACGCCTGGAGCGGCTGCCACTATTGGAGCAACTTCGAGATAGCGGATCTCGACTTCTTCCGCGGAAAACAGTATCAGGCTTTCTTCAAGGCGCTCGATGATACGGGAGGTTTCTATTTTGAAAGGGTAAGTGGTTTTCCAACGGTATTTTTATTCAGTATTTTGTGGTGGGCAAAGAATCGGACTTGGAAAAGAAGGCTCGGAGATGAAGAAGCTGAAGGATGTCGTTGGAGAATTGGAATGACAAGAAAGCCAAGCTTCTGCCTTCCTTCTCCACCGTGAGCTTTGATGCTCCTTCTTCCAAGACCTGCCGAGCCGCATCTCGTCCAACCACGTTCTCTCCCCTGTGGCCGAACCCTTGGCAGCCTGAAGCAGATCACTAACCAGGATTTTACGTTGCATTTAGTGGGGTGACGCCGCTGTACACTCACTGGCCGTCGGCATGCTTCTCGACGCGGACAAAGTGCATCATTTTGAGGATTTTGGATATAGGCACGACGAACTATTTCAATGCCCGGCCAATGCGCCAGACGGGCAATTACCTGAGTCACAGGCGCTTGGGAATGTGTCGTCATACTCAACACCAATTGATGGAGGAATTGGGTGTCGATGTGAGTGCGATGGCAAAGTAAGGAGGAATCACAACGGATACTGCCTCAATAAGTTGAAGGAGCCGAACACTGCGCAGCGACCATGGTTTCCTTGGACGTTGTGATGTTACTTGGAGTGCTTGGATAGTCGCGCGATGGTAGAGACACACAGAAGTATACCCATGTTTTGTTAGAGTACATAGAAGAAGGATTCGTTGATACAGAAATCTAAGCCCAGGTCGAGATCTTGTTCAGATCCGCTTCCGTCTAGACCAATAACTCCAGGCACCTATAGTCACACACGTACATTACAAGTTCTATCTCATCAAGGAGGCTGGCGCAGCTCCTAGTCTTCATCAGAGTCATACTTGCCTTGGTAGTCCCCAAGCAAGATATCGTCCACCGCGAGTCCCGACGTGTTGTTCCGTAGCCACTCTGTTTCAATTCGAAAGAAAATCCATACCCATCGTCTGAACACCTCAAGTGACTGCAATAAGAAGATGGAACTCTCAAAGTCGGTGAACTTGTCCAAGTGTGCGTTCAGCTTGAGCGACCAGGTACACCGCAGCATCAAGTCCATTCCGATCACGGCGTAGTAGATAACAGGCTGCTGGAAAATAAGCCGCCGGCGAAGCCCGAACGGGTGCTCCGGATTGTTGCGTTCACGCGCCGACGAGAATAGAGTCAGGTCCCAATCCTTGGCAACATCCCAATACCACGAGTAAAGGGAGTTGACCAGCACTGCCACCAGCCATGCTCTGTTCAATCCAGGCGCTGGCTGATCAGCCGGAACGCTTCGCTGTAGTGCGCTGAAGATGATAACGGGGAAAGCCGTGGCGTATTTGGTGGCGTTGGCCAGATGCTGTCCGCCCCAACCCACTGACTCCTTGTAAGGCGCTCTTCGGACTCGAAAGTACTCGATGATGCACTGCCTGAATCGTATCGCGAATGGCACTGCCATGATGAGCGGCACTATCACCGTTCCGCCGCAGTTTCTGTCCGGTCGCGCAGTTGAAGACCCAGACGGCGTGAAGAACATGCAAAGGACCACGTAGAGGTCTCCCAGGATCTTGGAGTAGCTCGTCAATACATCGGCGAGCAGGATATCTCCGAATTTCCCATCCTTTGCTTCTGCTATGCCTCCGATGCTCACGCGTCGCAGCGTAGCGAGGAACCGCGATCGTCCACCTTGCGAAAAGTTGCGGATGGGGACGAAGAAGAGGGCCGCAAGGGCGACCAGGTAGGTCATCGGTAACCAGTCATATTCAATTACGAGGGCGGGGGTTCGACGGGAGAAGATCCAGAAAGTCGAAATCGAGAGCAAAAAGACCGTCGAAAGTACGGTCGCGAGGCGGTAGGTCGATAGGTGATGCGCCGGTTGTGTCGGAGAGGATCGCGAGGGATATCGAATCAGGGAGGGCACATCGATCTTGACTTTGTGCAGGTAGTGGAGGTTGACACCCCAGCCCCATACGGCTATGCCATAGTCAGCGTGTTATTTCAGTCTGCGCGCAGTCGCGACCTACCGAGAACAATAATAAACCCAATGCGATAGGGTAGGGGGAAGGTCAAGCTGAACGAGTCGAGCTGCGACTCAACCTTGGGATCACCGTCCATGGTTGCTGGTGGAAGGGGGAAGAGGCATCGAGTGAAGAAAAGGAAAGGCGGACTCTCTGGAGCCAAAATTCGAGTGCAAAGGAGTGACGAGAATACAAAGAAAATTCATACGAATTAAAGTCCGAGTCGCTCAAGACGTGGATCTAAAGCTTCGAGATCGACCTGGAAAAGAGGATAGTTTGTCCCGTACTCTGTACTGTTCAGGAGGTAAATTGTCCTGTACGTCTTATCGTTATCAATCAGGCGGATGGTCTGTGCCTCAAGGGACCTTACGTACCACAGACTGCGCTGCAATGACGTCTGGGGTAATTCTTAGCTAACTGACTGGGTCGAGATGCTTTCATGGTGATTCCAACTCATGCGCATTACCATAGTCTCACGAAATGAGCATTGCCTAATCGTTTTGAGGATGTCTGGAGAGTTCAAAAGCGTTACTTCACTTTTGTACCCAAGATAAAACCTTGCAAGACGAGAGGTAACCTCGGGGCCGAAAGCTGAGGCAAATGAGGTTTCCCTTACTAGCATGTAAGCAGATAATTTGAAGCCATAGGCCCATGGCTTTTACATGCGACGTGCAATGGGGCCCTCATAAACATAGGTATTCTGATCGAATCCTCAATCGAAGGCGGCATTGAGGACTCCACATCGCTGTCGGACCCTAGATGCCGGGCCTGGCGGGCTTTCGGATTCGAGTGTCATGTCTCCAGCATTAATTGCAAATACACGGTGTGATTAAGATTGCCCGAAACTTCTCACTTGACTAGTAAAATCAGTTCCTTGCAGTAAGAATGTTAGGGCGGCGACGCTCAAGACTATGCCACTTGATACCAGCGGAGACGAGGTCTTTCGTGACTACTAAGCAGACATGTCAACGACAAAGTGACTTGGGAGACGCCATACATTAGAGCTATAACATCTGAGGGTATAAGGGCGCACTTGGCTTCAGTTCTGAAGTCATCACGGGTGTAGATGAGGAAGGCATTGTCGATGACCGCCATGCAGTACGGGCTATGTAGGCTGTATAGGAATAGCAAATCCTGGACGGTGAGCTATGGTTCCGTATAAGTCACGGTTTCCACGGGCACTTCCTTTGAAGGCGCAGTGTTTTTCCTTCTCCAGTCGGCTTCCGGTGGTGTAGTACCTAACTCCGAACTTGACACTGCAGATTCGAGGTGTAGGTGAGAAGCATTACACTAAGAAGTGTTTCCTACACTGATTGTTAGCCATTGATAGTCCGATGCTTAGCATCATTTCCTACTTCCATCAGAAATACATCGTCCTCCTCGCGTGTCAAATTCAGCCAGTCGCTCCAGGTGGTTCTGTGGTACAGCGGATACATTCCCCCCACCCCCTAACAAGGTAAGCTTGCTTGCCAAGCTATATTCTGAAGTTGCTGTTGGTAATATTTTCGATGAAGTTCTACGTTCGTATCACCAAGTTCCAAGGAGCAGATAAAGATGATCTAGTGGTGGTTGGCAATGTAAAGAATCTTCGGACTTTGATAGAACCAGTGAAGTGGATGCAGTAGAAAGTGGCATGAAATGGCTCATTCACTCGTGCTCATGCTATTCGAATCGTATTTATTTCCCCTCCCAAGATACTGATACATTATTGAAGACGTGCCTAAACATTTTGAATCATGATAGACTTAAGGAGCCTGTACAGATACCGCCATGCTCATGACTAGTATGCAAATGAGGGTATTCGCACGAAGAACTAGGAATTCTTCATTTGCTAGCTTGCAGGAACAAGTGTTCACAAAGTGATCAACGCTGAGCAATTTCAATCCCCCCTACATGCGAAAGATGCGAATTGTCCAACATGAACCAATCATCACAGTCATTGGCCCGTCTGTAATTTTGCGATGCTAGCGAGCATTTGTTCACAACATGGTGGCGCCGCTGATGAGGAGAGTCTGCATAGCTGTTTCCTAGATTACACGAGTCTGTAGTGAGGTATGTTTCAGGGGTAGAAGGCGTGGCACAGAGACTGTTGCATTTAAATATCATTGCAGTCTATCAATCGCTCACTCGAGGTATCTAAATGATTGAAATGTCTAGCTTCATTGACAATGAGAACAGCTAACTAGGTACTGAGGTATCCTTACAGGCCCGTCATGGCCTCAATCAAAAACAAGCTATACTAGCAGTCCAGCAGGAAAAAAAAGCCAGTAGAAAAGCCACTCCAAACGACGAAGATGCGGCTCGGGTTCCCAAATCATGCTTTTCCCGCCCTCCCAGGCCGCAACAGCATCTGGTATCTCTCCAGCCTCCCAATTTACTCCAAACGCCACTTGGCAGAGTGCCATTTCCAGGACCGACCCCAAAACGTAGTCCAACAGAGAGAAAGAACGGTTACTTTACATGCCAAGCCTCCAAAAGCTATGCATTAATCGAGTGGTCTTCGCCAAAGCAAGCAGCGATCGTCTATGCCTCCACCGCAACAGCCGGGGCGCTGACTGCTGCGGGCTCGGGCTGGTTGAGCTCCTCTTCCTCGGCAATCTCGCCGCCTGCTTCGCGTTCAGCCCAGGCTCCCCAGAGACCACGCTTGGCGCGGACTTTGATAGGTGCGCCGAGAGTCTCGCCCTGCTCAACCTTGATCGCGTCCTTCGTGGCCAAAACGAGACATTCGAAAAACATCTTGGTGGCGTCGGCCTTCGTCGTTCTCCCCTCGGGAAGTAGGTCCTGGAAGACCACGGCAGTCTTCTTGCGCTTGTCGGCGTCGTGCTCGGCGTCGGGGCCAAAAATGTCTCTTAGTACGTGGACAGCATGCTTGGTACCCATGGAAACCGGACCACTGTCCTGAGGGTGAACGACAGGAGCTGTTGTCTCGTCAAAGTCGGGCATGGCGCTTCCTTCGCGCGAAACAGGTCGACCGGTGTTGTCGTCGTCTCCTCCGAAGGCAATACCCTCCTCATCAGCAGGAATTTCAAGGATAGTACCATCTGCTGCGATGCTTTGGTTGCCCAACCCGGCATCCTCGACAGCAAACGCGTCGTCCTCTTCGACATTCAGGCGAGGCGACTTAGATGTGGCGCCGTTGTCACTCTCCACATCAGCGATTCCGCTGTCCCGCTTCCTCTTCAGCTCGTTTGATCGGCTGACAGCCTCGAGCGAGAGCATTCCTCTCAGCTCAGGTGCCCAACCGGCACTGCGACCGTCTAGCATGATGTTCGAGACGAAGCCGCCACTCTTTTGCATCTCCATTAGAGCCAGAACGAAAGGATCTCTAGGCAAGAACGATTGAGCTCTGAGGATGTTGGCGTGGTTGGCTTGTTGGTCTTTGATGTGAGTGCTTGAAAGCATCGTCTGCTCGTCAGGCAACAGAACCTTCCTCTTCTTGGCTCGTTGAGGATGACGAATGACTGTGTGCTCCTCCTCCTCATCTGGCTCATAGAGATCTGTGTGCTGGATACGGGAGTATTCCTCCTCAACCTCTCTCGCGAACTCCGGGTCGATTTCTGACAGTGGTGATTCGGAGATACGACCACGCGGCATATCCAGAGGACCGCCAGCAAGACCGGGAACGACAGATTGATCGCCGAGAGGGAATTGGAAGTCGTCATCGCCCATTTGAATGTCACCCTCCTCGTCAGCGATGCGGACGGTGTCGTCGCCAAAGTCAAGGTTCAGTCCCAGTGAAGGCTCACGTTCGGGCTGGTCCTTGCCTCGCGGCATAATGTCGAGCTCGCTGAACATGTCGTCCTCGACTGAGCGAGCCAGAGGCGCGTCTCTTCCCATTTCGATAGTCGTATCCATGCGGGTGGGTCGCTCATCAATATCCATGCCAAAGTCGAGTTCAAGATCGAGATCTTCCATTGGTGCAAGCTCCAGTTCGTCATCGAGGGTGTCCGCCTGGTTGAGGAATTGGCTGTTGTTGAAATCCTCCTGAAGGTTAATGTCGCGGTTGCTAACACGCCCCTTGCGACCGACTGGCGTAGCTGTGACATCGTCCATTTGCGACAAAAGCCAAGCGGCATCAGGAGGCGGCGGGAGATCCAGGTTGTCTAGTGGAGTAATCTTGTCAGGCAGCAGCAGCGCTTCGCGGTTGTTGACGTAGAGATTGGCGACTGCCATATCGTGATTGTCACTCGAGCGGAAGGCCTATAAAAGTCAGTAAAACGCGTCAAATATCCAAGCGGGAGGCAAGAAGCGCACCATCTTGATCTTCATTGAAGCTTCATTGCAATCCTCGAGCAGATAACGGGCTTTGCGATTGTAGATTCTGACAACACCTAGCAGCAACTGGCCACTTAAACGAAGAGCCATCGGGGCCTGGCCAGGCGTAATGATAGCCTCTACACTGTCCGGCAGGTTGGACTGCAAAATGTGCGTCTTTGAAAGCTTGCGCTCAATGTTGGCCGACAGCCAAACGCGGGCCAACGGCCCGCTCTTCTGGAGAAGCGTCTCCGAATAGAACATGGCGGCGACAACGGTTCGTGACGCGAGGGTGTTGATGCAAGAGGCAAGAAGCAAGAGCTACTGCTCGTGAGGTATATAGGCAGCGACGCGCGCCGGTGTTGGAGGGGTGGTTGCGGAAGCTCTCGTAAACACGAAAACGCGTTGTTATGGGGAATCGGGTCGCGTTGGGGATGTAGCGGTCGGGGCGAAGTCTAACACGCGCGGAGTACGAGGCGCGGTGACATGAAGCAAGTCGTGAGGATCGCGAAAGGCTGAAGAGTAAGTTGCAGCGATAGCAATAGTAGCAAGAGCGCGATGTGCAGCGATGAGGGAGATGGAGGAAATGAGCAGGAGGGGGGGGAGTCAAGGTGTGGTGGTCTTCTCTCTCTCGACGCCGTGCCGGTGGACGCAAATTGACGGGGCTGGGATTGGGCAGGGATTGGTCCGCGCAGAATTTGGTGGCACCAGCCACATCACGTGAGGCCGTTGCTCCGCTCTTGGATCATCAACTCGCTGACCCGGCGACCATCCCGGAAGCAGCGGGTCAAAGGTATCTTTCCGTCCTGTGGCGGTGTGAAGAGTACATGGTAGGGATGCCAACTTCCCATTCCTTATCTAATCATTTTCAGGTACGAGGAGGACCGGAGCTTTACCAACAAGGAAGCTGTAAGTCGAAGCAGGCACCATGCATGGTGAATACCACTCGAGGTGTCAAGGTACCGCGGAACGTGCAGCTCGAGTTGGGTTTCTAACAGAATATCCTTTTGCCTCGTTCATCTCACCCGCAACGCATCATTCATATGCGGTAAACATCTGAGCTGCAGCTACTACTGTAAGCTGAGCTGAGGAATCTCGAGGCGAGGAGTTCCTCCTGCTACAGGTCCGTTTGGAGCCACACATGAGATGAAACCAAAATTGGGTAGTGTGAGCTCTCGAGATATCATTGGAGGCCCTGTGTCTCCAATTTGAATCCCCAACATGATCACCATGCTTTGGGACCTGGAGGCCCTGGCTAAATCTGGCGTGCAGTAAGTAAAATTGTCTTTCAAAGATGAATGTTGGTGTCACCTCGCGCTACGATATGGAAACTCTAGAAACTCACTCGGTGCAACTGACCTTGATGGTGAAAGGTCCCGTGCATTTTCTCCTCCATACAGACTTGAGCAAGGCAGGAGTAGTAAGATAGGTACACTGGCATTGGCACCTAGTCGTCAAATCAGAACCGTTCGTTCCCTTAGATATCTATCTATGGCTTGGATAACTTGACGTTGCAGTCATGAGACATGTAACTGAAATCGTGCATGCCCTTGTCTGGATTGCTCACGGCACTGGAGCGCAGCCATCCACGGGGGATGTGCGGAGCGGCGACACTGCTCCCGAGTCCTCGTTCCAGGGCCCCCTGTACAACAGCCACGGACCCGCCGTACTAAGCGTCGCGTTGGCACGCCGCACGCCCTGTCCCTGGTACCAGATTTGGCCATGCATCTGCTATCCCAGCCGAAGGCACACGTTTTCTCATCTTTTACCACGACATCCGCTTGCCTTCACTCAGTCACCAGCTTCCACGAAACTATGTCTTCGGACCTAGCTCCCCGCAATTGATACCTTGGCGAAAAAGGACCTTTAGTCCTCCGAAATCGAACGTACTCTGACTTCCGACGACATATCCTTTCGCTTGGGCGCATGCCTCCTTTTCGCCTCGTACACTGACAGATGATCGGCGCTGGGCGTTCTGTAACTATTCCAAGGTCGTGACCGAGGGATTTCTGCCTCGCCATACGCAGATATGCAGTGGCCGTGGCATAAAAGGAAGGACTCCGACGATGGCGAAGCTTTATTGCCTCTGGCGGCCAAGATGCCGAGCATCAACGGTTTGACCATGGACCCTATGGAGACGGAATCATCGCGATCTAGGCCAGGCCACATTCGAACCACATCAGCGCAGTCAAGAGTAATGGGCCCCCCTCAACTTCCGTATCCTCGATATCTAGCTAATTTCTGTCTGCATAGAGCACCGCCGACGAGTTCTCCTCGATGAGTTCCGCAGAAGCCGCCAGCCGCCTTCAAACATCACTTACCCACGGTCTATCGCCAACCGAAGCCTTGACTCGACTCAGTGACTACGGTCCGAACGAGATCCCCCACGAACCTCCAGAACCGCTATGGCTTCGTTTCATCAAACAATTCCAGGAGCCGCTTATCTTATTGTTGCTTGTGTCGGCCGGAGCATCCTTGTTCTTGGGCAACATGGATGATGCAGTCAGCATCACAGTCGCCGTGACCATCGTGGTCTCGGTCGGTTTTGTGCAAGAATACCGCTCAGAGAAGTCGATAGAGGCTCTCAGTCATTTGGTTCCGGCCCACGCCCATCTGGTCCGCTCAGCTATCAGCAAGACACCCGGCAGCGCCAAAACTCCGACTTGGCCACCACAGGGGCCTATGGACGGCACAGAGTCAGTCGGATCTACCACGCCTGGGGAAGAAATGCTGGAAGCAACCTCATCAAAGGTCATGGCCTCACAGCTTGTGCCGGGAGATTTGGTCTACTTCACCACGGGCGATCGTATTCCGGCGGATATTCGGGTCACCAAGGCAGCAGATCTCACGATTGATGAGTCAAATCTCACAGGAGAAAACGAGCCTGTGCGGATCACCGCAGAGACGAAGGCGCGGAGCCTCTTGTCCCCTGCATATGGTGCAGACACGCTTCAGCTTCCGAGCCCATCCGCCTTGTCCGACAATCGTGATGCAGGTGGGAGTGGCGAGAATAACATCGCCTGGATGGGCACGCTGGTGAGGTCCGGTCACGGCCAGGGCATTGTTTTTGCAACGGGTGGACAAACCAACTTCGGAACAATTGCGACTAGCGTGTCTGGAACAGAGAGTCCTCGTTCGCCTCTCCAACTCTCCATGGACGACCTAGGCTCTCAGCTCAGCAAAGCGTCGTTCGTTGTCATTGGACTCATTTCGCTAGTCGGCTGGCTTCAAGGAAAAAAGCTGTTGGAAATCTTTACTATTTCGATCTCTCTTGCTGTTGCAGCTATTCCAGAAGGTCTGCCAATTATCGTAACCGTAACTCTGGCTCTTGGCGTTCATAGGATGGCTCGCCATAACGCCATCGTACGCAGAATGCCCAAGGTAGAGACTTTGGGCTCAGTAAATGTCGTTTGTACCGACAAGACAGGTATGTGGCGAAAGGACTAGATGGAGATTGAACCAGCTGGTTGCTGACATGCTGCAGGTACTCTTACCATGAACCACATGACAACCGCCAAAATGTGGTACTTTGGTGCTAACGATGCCATCGATGTCGAGTCCGATGACGAAGCGACGGAAACCAAGCCTGATCCTGCCACTCTACGTATTTTACGGATTGGTAACATTGCGAACAATGGTCGTTTAGCACAGCAGTATACCGAAAACGGTGCAGCTGCAAGAGCTGTGTTATCGTCAACTCAAGGAGCTGACTTCACTTCGACTTACACGCGCTGGTGTGGCCAACCTACGGACGTTGCCATGCTCGACTTGCTTGACAGATTCAAGGAACACGACGTTCGCGAGTCTATCGGCCCGCGTCTGACGGAGACCCCCTTCAGTTCTGAGCGGAAATGGATGGGTGTTACCATTGGAACTAACGATAAGGAGTTCGCCTACATGAAGGGATCCATCGACAGAATTCTCGAAGCTTGTGACACCTATCTCACTCGGGACGGCCGAGAGATTGTCCTTGACTCTACGCGTCGTGAAGAGGCCCTACAAGCTGCTGAGACTATGGCGTCAAAGGGCCTCCGCGTACTTGCATTCGCCAGTGGCGGAGTTTCTAGATCCAGGGGCAGAGCAGCACTTGCGCCGACTAGTCGAACCAACACCCCTCAACCCGTCGATGAAACCTACAGGGGCTTGACGTTTGCTGGTCTGGTCGGCATGAGCGATCCGCCAAGGCCAGGTGTTGGCAAGTCAATTAGGAGACTTCTGCGCGGAGGTGTCAGAGTCGTCATGATAACAGGAGATGCCGAGACGACCGCCGTGGCGATTGGCAGGCAGCTTGGCATGCCGATTGCGAAGCCAATCGAATACGCCTCTAATCAATCTGCAGTTCGGCCAGTCCTGAGGGGAGAGGACGTTGATAATATGTCAGAAGAGGAGCTCTCCCACGCCATTCAGCACACTACCATCTTTGCTCGCACGAATCCGGACCATAAGCTCAAGATCATTCGGGCTTTCCAGGCCAGAGGTGATATTGTCGCCATGACTGGAGACGGCGTCAACGACGCACCAGCACTGAAAAGAGCGGATATCGGCATTTCAATGGGCTTACACGGGACTGATGTGGCCAAGGAGGCTGCCGATATGATTCTCACGGATGACGATTTCTCAACAATCCTTCGAGCGATCGAAGAGGGCAAGGGAATCTTCAACAATATCCAGAACTTTTTGACATTCCAGCTGAGCACAAGCGCAGCCGGTTTAACTCTGGTACTTATCTGCACAATACTCGGATTCAAATCGCCCCTGAATGCTATGCAGATCCTTTGGATCAGTAAGTCTTTTCGTTTCTAGAGAAGGTTGTGCTCAGACTAACAATTTCCCAGACATCATCATGGATGGCCCACCTGCTCAGTCGCTTGGCGTAGAATCCGTTGATGCCGATGTGATGAATCGGCCTCCTCGGAAGCGGAACGATGCAGTCCTCACGAGGGCTCTGCTCTACAGGGTCATGACCTCGGCATTCATCATTATGGCGGGCACGATGCTCGTGTATAGACGCGAGATGCTTGCCGATGGCGAGGTTAATCGCCGCGATACAACCATGACCTTTACTTGCTTTGTATTATTTGACATGTTCAACGCAATGGCCTGCCGATCCGAGTCAAAGTCGGTTCTGCGGGGCGAGGTTGGGCTCTTCTCGAACACCTTATTCAACTGGGCGGTCTCTCTCAGCATTGCGGGCCAATTACTTGTCATTTACTTCCCTTGGCTCCAGGAGGTTTTCCAGACAGAGGCTTTGGGCTTATTCGATCTGTTGGGACTTTTGATGCTTTGCAGCACGGTGTTTTGGGCGGATGAGTTTAGAAAGTACTGGAAGTATGCCAGACGGCGCATGGGGGGCGGTTACAGTCAGGCAGTGTAGACCAAGACGCGGAAGCATCACTCATGTGAAGGTACGGGGGAATCGTACCAGTCAACGGCCTTAGCATATATGTAAAACTCTGAATACGGTAAATAATTTTAACGGCCTTTCCAAAATTCAGTTGCAAAATCACTCCCTGCTTTCGTCCGATGCTCTGGAATAGGACAACTGTGCAGATCAGCCCAAAGTTTGTTCCTCCCTTGCGCCCACACCTTGACCTCGCTTATCGGTGAGCTAGGTTCACCGAACCTCCTACC